AGTGGGTAGTTCGTAGGATGCAATTGTATATATATGTAAGAAATATGATGGCTTTAGATGGAAGTTGTCGAAGGATCTGTGGGGTTAGAAGGTCATATCCAGGAGATTTGCGAGGTGTGATTTTCCGTAAAAGGTATTTGACCTCAGAGGGATTAACAGCTTTAGGTGGTAAGGAGAGTGGGATAGGTATTGAGAGGGATTCTTCTACTTTTACTGTGTGGCTGGGATGGGATTCTGGATGAGGAGCGAAAGTATAGGAAAGGTGTTTGGCAAATTCCTCGGCTTTATCTTCATCAGATGCTGCCCAGGAGCCATCATCTCGTCGAAGAGGGTGGGAAATATGATGGGATTTGAGGATTTTTCTGGTGATATTCCAAAGGGAATTATCATGAGCAGAGAGTGTGGTGAGGTAGGAATTGAATGATTGGGATCTGAAGGGGCTAATTCTTTTTTTAATTTTTTACAGTGATAATTGTAGGAGTGGCGGTCGGCTGGATGTCTGGTACGTTGCCATAATAATCTGGCACGGCGTTTTATGTGGATTAGGTCAAGGAGGTGTTGAGGTAAATTATGTTTCTTAAGGATTTTTGAGGAGTGATCAGGGGAGGAAGCAGTCCAGACTGCTTCTTGAATTTTGGTAGTGAAGGAATGTACTGCATTGTCCAGGTCTTCAGAGGTTTTCAGGGTTACTCTGAGGTCAATTTTATCGGAGAGGATTTGATGAAAGAGTTTCCAGTTAACTGGGCCTCTGATGAAGGACGGAGGAGAGGGTTTAGGAATAGGAGCTAGTGATACTTGGAGTATTAATGGGCTGTGGTCTGAGGAAAGCTCGTCAAGACGGGCAACGGAATGGTTGAGAGCACCTAAACCATTATGGATAAAGAAATCGAGGATATCGGGATTACGGTTAGGATCAGTGGGCCAGTAGGTAGGTGAGTTGGGTGGAAGAAGGGTAAAATTTTGGGAATTGAGTACAGACAGCAATGTTCGACCACGAGAATTCGTGGTTCTTGAACCCCATTGTTGATGCTTGGCGTTTAAGTCTGCACCCAAGATGAAATGATGTCCTAAGGAAATGAGGAAGGAACTAAATTGGATATTGGAGATGGATTGGTTTGGAGGGCAATACGCTGATGCAACGGTAATAGGAAAGGAGAAGGTTTTGATTACGACTGCGGTGGATTGTAGGAAATCGTGTGTAGGCAGTGGGAGTAGGTGATGGGAGAGGGATTGGTGCACAATGACTGCAGTACCGGCATGTGCTCTACCGTCAGGATGGTCGGTACGGTAAGTTATGTATTGTGGTATTTTTAGGAGCTGTTTTTTAGTCAGTCGAGTTTCCGTTATTAGGGCTACGTCTACGTTCTTGTCTTGTAGTAAGGCTGTTAGTTCGTGTATGTGATTTCTAACACCATTCGCATTCCAAAGGAGAATGGATATGGGTTTGATGGAAGTCATTTAAGGATTTTTTAAAGGAGGGATAAGGTGAGATACTAGGTTAGTGAGAAGTGATATCAGTGGGGTAACAAGGGATTTAAATTCTGAAAGAAAGGATGTCAATAAGCTGGTTAGATCTGTAGCATTAGGCGGTGGAGGAACATATTGGGTTTGATGTTGGTGAGGTTGTTGTTGATTAGGTACATTAGGTGGGATAGGATATTGAGATTGGGGTTGAGTTTGTTCTTGCGGCAGGGCCTCACATACATTAGTCGGGTCTCTACCCCCAAGTAGCTTGGCAAAAGAAACCTTAGAGTTCACAATTTTAGCGGGTCCTCTTCTTGGTTTAGGTGTATCATCAGGGTCCCTGGGTTTCATATATCTCGCTTTAAGATTTTTATAAATTTGGCAGCCTTTGTAGTTGGCTGGATGGCCTTCCAGGCATAGGGCACAGACTGCTGGTTCTGTAATTGGTTTATTACACTCGCCAGACTTGTGTGTTTTACCACATTTCACGCAGCGTGGTAAGTGGTGGCAATAAGACTTGGTGTGGCCATATGCTTGGCAATTATGGCACTGGATGAACTCTCTTTTTGGGTACGGTTTTTCGACCTTTACGCTGGTGTAGAAAATTCTATTCACATCGTATATTTTTTCGATCCCAGGCGATGGCTCTAGATCGACGAAAAATAAGGGCAATGGGATTTTATTCTTTACACCTGGTTGTTCTTTATTTTCTTTTAAAACATTGGTTATCTGACGTATTTTGAACCCTAACGCCGTTAACTCTTCTTTAATCACTTCTATTGGGGTTGAGGAGTGTAAATTTCTTATTACAACTCGTAGTGCTCTTTCCTGTTTCAACTGGTATGTGTGAAAGTCCGCATTTGTGTCTGTTAAATATTTTACGATTTTTCGGTACGCTTCAGGTGTGGCCGGTATTATTTTTGTATCATTTATTCTGTTTAGGCATGTATAGCTACCTGGGCAGATTTTATTAAGTTGAGTACACAACAACTGGAAATTTCTCAAATTTTTGACAAAGATAGGAGGTGGGCGTGGTTCTCGAGGTATAGGTGCATCTTCCATTTCTTCCCTGTCATTTTCAAGCACCTGGTATGGATTAGGTGTAAAAAATGGAGATTCCATTTCTTGTGAAGACGTACTTGGCAGTGGTTGAGACACAGATACTTGAGTGTTCGCTGGAGGAGTTCCGGGGGTGTTAATCGCTTACTACGACGTGTTTTCTGTTTAGGCGGTGAATTACGTGGGGTAGAGCCAACTGAATGGGACCTCTTAGTTGACATTACTTGGTGGTAATATCGCATATAAAAAAAAAAAAGAAAGGGAAAAAAAAATAAATAAATAAAACTACGTCTGCGTGTTATTACAATGGATGAACCACCGGCTGAGAACCAGCCAGTTACGTGGCAGTGCCACAACTGGAGAGGGGAGCCGTCAGCTGTTATGGCTATAGAGATTAAGCCTATAGACGCTAAATCACTAAATTCACTGTCTGTAATAGTACACAGTAAATAACAACACTACTCACTGTGGTGTTAGTCCATTGTTGTTGTTTTGATGTCTGCTAACTAGTTTTTTTTTTTAAAAAGTAAAACTGAGCACTTATTCTACTAAAAAATAGTAAAACTGTGGGACACGACGTGAAATGTGGGTATTCAAATCAAGCGCATGCGCAGAACTGGAACGAAAGTTGAGAGAAATCATAGAAGGAAACCTCGAAGAAGAACAGACAGCATTCAGACCGCACCGCCAGACCCAGGACCACGTATTCTCCCTCAGGACTATTATTAAAAAGGCATGTGGAACGAGGGAAGAGCATGTTTCTAGCTTTTCTTGATATCAAGGCGGCATTTGATTAGGTCCCTAGGCAAGAAATATGGGCAGCTCTAGTCGCAAAAAATGTACCCAATGCACTAATAGTGCTATAAAATCCACGTATTGCAACAAAAAGGGCTCAATAAGAACAAATGGAAAATAATCCGAACCTTTGGAAATGAAAAAAGGATTAAAATAAAGAAACAGCCTTTGCCCTCTTCTGTTCATCATATTTATGGATGAAATTTTAAAAATATGCAAGAGGAGGGCAGCACGGACAGTTGTTGGAAGTGGAATATGAGGACAATCCTTGCTCAGGCTATGGTTTTTGCAGATGACATTGTACTCATAACAGATGCAAAAGAAAATCTGCAGCAAGCAATCATAGAGTGGGAAGCTGAGCTGGATAGAAAGGGAATGATGCTTAATGCAAATAAGAGAAAGGTAATGTGTATACGACGAAATTAAGAAAATGTGGAGATCCGATGCAGAGGAGAAATCCTACAGAAGACTGAGGAATATACCTACCTAGGTACAGTCATCAGCAGGAATGGAATGATTGATGAGAGGTTTCCAACCGGATCAAAAAGGCAAATAATGTCTACTACCAACTATTCAACATAATTGCTGCAAAGAGAGAAGTGGACAAAAACGTGAAGCTGCACATTTTCAAGTCAATATACTTACCTACTCTTCTCTATGGAAACGAAAGCTGGGTCCCACTGGACAAGCACTGGAGCCGAGTAACAGCTGCAGAAATGAGATACCTGAGGAGAGTGACTTGCATCGAATCTTCGGGTTCACTAAGCTTTTTATTATTATTATTATTAATTTAGTTATAGTATATCAATAGTTGTGCTTTTACGTTTTACCACTTTATATATTGAAAATTATTTTCTGAAGAAATTTCACTACAAATATGTATTTTTCATGAATATAAGAACAGTAAACTCTCATAACTGTCGCCGTAATATGGTTGTATATTTACAAGCTGAACCTTAAATTCCTCATGAAATATATTTCATTTCACTATTAAAAAACTAGTAATAAATCGAAGGTTGAGTTACAAATTTCCAAATCTCCAAGGAAGGTGTTCCAACTTCAAAGTTGGCTAATATAAGAGAATAAAAAAGATATTTGTTACTGCTGGACTCGAACCACCGCGCAGTGGACCGAAACGGTAAAATCGTATTTCATTTTCTCGAAAAGTTTTATATCTTCTTGAAGCCGAATAGCTGGTGACATCGAATGTACAAGAAATGGTTATTTTAAAAATGTTTCTCATGATGAATTTCAATTCCAAAGTTAATGTTATTGAGAGAATAAATTTGAATGAAATGTGATAACAATTTATATTATATTATAGCTCCAAGGAAAAGACAAAGTCCAAGAAAGTAACAGTGTAGAATACTTATTGTGACCCCTATATGTACTTTTTTTTTGCACTTACACTAATACTAGATCACGGTAAAAAGGTTTTAAAAAATCATCCTTTTAGAGTTATTTCAACATTTTTACTTAATTAATGAATAATTTCGGACCCAGAAGCCACTGTCCCTTTCAGTTTTTGACACAATTTTTTCGTTATTTTTTTTCTTACTTAATTGCTAAGAAAACTCTGATAAGAGCATTTTAGTGCATAATTACAGACATAAATCGATGTGAAACCTATTAGAAATCTATTTATTACTCTATCCTACTACCAATAGATTTCTACCTCCTTACTGAATCATTATTATGAAGTAATGTTTGTAAATAAATCATTATTTCTAAAAATAAAAAAAAACATACTCTGTTTATATGAAGTTGTCATAATAATTCGAGTTAATCTTTACTATTTGTTTTTCGAAAATGGTTAGATGATTCTATTAATAAAAAAACATAAACTTCCATCCATTATGTATTGAAATATTTCTTATAAATATATTTATAACGATAATTACTATTTATTAGTCTTCAATAATTAATTACTGGTTATGAGTATTTGATAATGATTATTTAAATGAACGATTCAGTTGAATGCAGTTCACTAAATATCAAAAATATATGTGTTAATTTAACAAGTAAACAATCTCATTTCTAATAGCGAAATATACTAGCAAATGAAGTACAATTAAATTATTAATAAATAGTTCACACGTTCAATATTTAATCTAAAATCAGAATAAACCTAGAACTTTGTAGATATCTATCAAATGCAATAAGTGTTCCCTATATCCTGGAAATTGGTTACATTTAACACTGCTGTCAATTTCGTCAAGTCCATCCGTTGGAAGAACTCTGCCTCCGAGGTACAATAGTCCCATCCGAAAGCCATAATCAAGTCCTTCCCGCAAGTGCTCCATGAATTCTGAATAAGACGGAAAACGAAACAGTTTATCAATACCTACAATAAGCCGTTGGTAGTATGTAGCACAGTAGGTATGAACGTCATCACCTAAAAAAAAAAATCGTAAATTTATTTTGAAAAAAAAGGAAAATAAATAATAAAAAAAAAAAAAAACTGTAGAGCCCCCATATTCTGCTGAGTTCTCGTCTGAAAAGGGATAAAGGCAAGGAAATGGATTGGTATATCTCCTTTTTAACTTGGGAAATGTGGTGAGGTACCAGGGAATTCAGACACGCGGAACAATTTTTGCCTGTATGGTTCAGTTGCTTGGCTGTATTGATAATATAAAATCGAGGCGAGGTCTCAACTCTCGACTAGCACTTGAGGTTACCATCCTAAACCTTAGGTCGGCTTTATCCATTAGGTTTTTCATAAATGAAACGGAGACTAAATATACGTGCACAGATTTTGGTGCACAGAGAGTCCGTGTTTAGTTTTAGCAATTACATGTTTCAGATGGTAGCGAAGTTCACTGATCTCGGATTCCTAGTTGGCAAACATTAGAAAGCGACTGGATGAAGCCAATTGGCGTAGGCTCTCACAATAGGCTTCACAGAAAACGAACAAAACTGACCCTCTGTAATTTTCTCATTAGGCCTCACTGACCTCGACCGTCTTGGTTAGCAAAAAAAAAATATTCAATGCCACTTGAAAGGAAAATATTTCGGCGCATTTTTGTTCCAATGAGAGTTGTCGAAAAATAGAAAGATATAGAACTCCAAGATGTTTACTGAGAGATAGATGTAGTTAGAGTTATTGAGAGGCTTAGTTGAGCTAGTATCGTTGTCATGATAAATGAAGAAGCTTATTGAGGAGAGTATTGGAGGAAGTCCTCCATCGATAAAGATTAGACAAGCCAAGACTAAGGTGGCTGATATAGTGGACCGCTGCCGGTGCAGCGTTCGCAAGAAGCCTCTTAGAGTTGAGGACTGAATGGTAGTATAACTAGACATAGCATAATGGCGGAGGTTCATTGGAAGGCAAGACCTACCTCGGGTTGTAATTCCACGGAGATAGATCTATGAAATATCCATATCTGGAACCACCGTGTACAAAACATAGATTATCCAAAACTTTTTTTTTTGTTTATTTTGAACTGATACTAAAATATAGTATGTTATATTAACATAAATTTGCCTTTTTATATTACGTAATTTCTCAATATCTCATGATGTGAAGGCAAGGAGGTTAAGACAGGCGGGTCATGTAGCTCAGAGTGACTGATAAGGAGTATTATGTATGTAAATTGTATTGTTGTTTACAACCCACTTAATTTTTAAATATATAAACAAAATTCGTATTTAATAAAAACAGCATGAAATCCTTAAGAGTGAGCCCTAATTTATTATTTACCCTACATTAGCTTAATTTGTTTAATCTTAACAGGAGGGTAATGAGGGTCCCTGTCAGATCCCCTTATCGTTTCCCCATCTCCTTGAAATAGAGGATTCTCAGAGAGAGTGTTGGCACTGTAAGATCAGAGCCACAAATAGTGCGATAAGCTAGGATACTAATCACTATTTCTATGTCACTATGTAATCATATTTTATTTTATTTATTTATTTAACATTATAGTGCCATTATACATTATATTTATTTAACATTATAGTGGGAGCGGGGTAGCTCAGTGGTAGGGCACTGAGCTTCCAATGCAAAGGTCCCGAGTTCGAACCCCGGCTCATGGCAGAAAATTTATTTATCTGTTTCATTGGCCGTGGGGCGACCTTGGATCAGAAAGTCCCTCCTGGGGCACACCCAGCCTCTATAAAGTGGGTACCCTTAATTGAATAATTAATTAAGGGGGAAAACCTGGCGGTTGAGCGTGATCTCGGTCAAATCATCTCCTTGCACAACCGTTGACCTAGAAACAGTGCTTTCCCTAAATAGTACTGAACCCCAGATCCTTCATGGGTTGTAGTGGTACAGGTTTTTTTTTTTTTTTTTTTTTTTTTTTATAGTGCCGTGTACCGCTTCATTGCCTAGAGGCACCATTCTTTTGATACATTTTACAAAGCATAAATACTAACCGGGATTTGCTGTCCCTCTAATTGATGTTAGTTTATTAGCTCTATCTTCCCGGAGCCAATTTTCGTTTCATTTATTTTTTATTATTTTTTACACAAATAGCTTGAAGTCTGGCAAAGTGACCGAAAGTCGAGGTACTGGAAAGAGAGTACACGCTTCTTTGATAGCAGTGCTAGTAAGAATATTGCCCTCTATACTTTCATGGTCTGATACCCAGATAAAATTTATGGTTTTGAATTTTGAAGTGTCTATAAGAAAATTTATCAGATGACGGCGTAGTTGATCTTTATATCCTGTTTGATTCGTTTACTAATCTCATCTATTGATATCTAGGGTGTTTTATCAAGTGACTTGGATTCGTCACCAGTCGTATGCTGGTGTGGTTGTGGCCTCAGGAATAATAATAAAATATGAATGGAATTGAGTATAAAGGCTGAATAAATCGTGATTCATCTTCACCCTGCAAATCTCAAGAAGATATTTTCACAAAAGGACGACCGACCATAAATAAAGATGGAATGGTAAATAATACGATGGTGTTCTTCCATTAGGACTATGCACCTGAGAATGCATAGTGCTATTGGAGAGGAGGCTGACATTCACCACGCATATCAAATACCTCTTAGTCAAAGGGAAACTCTCCATCAGGTTTTTCCATTCAAATGTCGGTAATCTTTCTTATCTACTAAAAATAAATTGAAACGGTTCACGGTAGTTGTTCTTTCATTTTTATTACAGTAATTTATTGCTAGTAATATATTGGAGTGATGCCTGTAGTTCAACTGCAATAAAAGTTCCAAATAGCCCTGAATACATTTGTTATATTGATAACTGCCTTTGTAATACCATTATCAGTAAATCACCTGAAGATAAAATGTTCGAGTAAAACTTTGGCAGATCATTTATTTATTCTGTTATGTCTGCATTCCTTTTTCTATAAAAAGTTTGATAAAGAAACAAGATATATAAATACACCAGATATTAATGGAATTTGTGGTCAGACCTTCCTTGGGACACATAGAGCATTTAAAAATCGTTTATTTACAGTTTATTGGAACCCTGTTATAACCTCCGGTATAGGAATATTTCTCACTAAGCGCTCAACGAAAGATCTTTCATGGCTTGCCGTGGTATACGTTATGTTTATTACAGGTCGTAATGGCTGAATGTAATTAGGCGTAAATTTTAATATTCTCCAGTCTAGTGACGCTGGTTCGAATCCGGCCTGTGCGGTTGTAATTTATTTCCTCGCAGTTACACGGAAAGAATCTTGACCTTCTCACTCTGGTTAGAATAGGTTTGATTGTACCTTAGTCGTTAATAAAGGAGGTACAGAGTGCGTGAGCAAGGACATAGGCTTTAGGCTTTATTATTAAATCTTGCTCTCAATGTTCGATGTTTGCCGTCAATTTTGCCTATATTAATTGCCTTTGTTTCGACTAATTCTTATGTTTGTAATTACTCCAATCTATAAACAAACGTTTAACGCCATTTTCCAAAAAAATATTCATAATCAATATTTTGACTTTTGTTCTGTTAGACTTGGACAGCCCACTGTGCGTCGTATTAATTTTATATACTTTTAATAAACAATGTTTTTACTTTCTTAGGGCTCACTAGAAATGCCTGATTCTGCTAACTACAAACCATTAAGATGAAATGAAAAATAAACATAAATAAGATGATTTTCCTTCCTTTAACTATTATCTCATATTATGTATATAAGGCCAAAATTAAGTTAAAAATTGCTAGTCATAACGGTAAAACAATATTATTTTGTTAATAATGCAATAAATCTTCCAAATTTAAATTTTATCCTTTATCCTGTTGCACAACAAAGCCGTACTCTTGACCCAATGTGCGACGTTCCGCCTTCATGAGCCATTTTCAAATATGAATTGTAAAAATTATAATTATTAATAGAACATTAATAACAACCATAGGACATTAACGAATTTTCGGTGAACATTGGCCAAAAATTATTTAAAGAATAAATAATAATATGGCACCAAACATAAAAAATATGAATAGAAAATGTATAATTGGTAAATGGTTGACTGTCGTGGATAATGAAGAGAAGAATAGTTGGGGTGGTCAGTCAAAAAAGAAATGTTTCGTTTTTTATTAAATCGAAATTTAATTACAGAAAATGTCATTTTCTAATGGTTTTATGAACATTACTATAACAGTCTGTTATATTCTGTTGTTTTTTTTTAAGTTAATATGTGATGTTTATCTAAAAGATCGAATGACCCTAGAAAGGATGGATTAAATTTCTGTTTCTGCCAAATTTCAGGCAAGAAAAAGTTTAGTGTATCATATTTACATTGTGCTGGATCCTATTTACATCAGCTCAGATACCAAATGTATTTTCATGATAAAAAAAAGTTCAGTTATTTATTCATGATATTTACAACTGTATTAGAATATAAATACACCTAGTAAATGTCCACATAGGAATATAATGACACGAAAACGCTTTTTGAGGAACTACCCGCTGCTAACATTCTAATAATATATCTACAAAAGGAGATCACGAAGCCATCTTTTCAGACGCCTTGGTTTTTTATCTGGGATTGAAGAGGAAGCAAGGTTAGAAACTAGAGGGTTCGGATGGTTCTGAAGTTTATCATGGAAGGATAGGTATCTGGATTGGGTCAAATCGGAAACATATGGTACATTAAGGACGTTATTTATTATTGATAAAAAATAATAAAAAAAAAATTACCAATTCTCAAACTTGTGGATAGAAGATTCAAAAGATCTTTATAAATAGGCCCACAACACATGTTTTGAAAATCTATAATCCTCAAGGTATCTTCATTTCTAAACATAAGATTATTTGACCAGTAATCCCCATGGCAGATAACCTGTGAAATATGTATTCATTTTATATAGCACCTGAATAAAAAGAACAAAATAATAATATGTGAAATATCTATGTGTATACCCAAAAAGAATCGTTTGAGCAATCTAGCGGAACTGCTGAACTTGATGACAACATCTTCGATATCTTTTCTTCCCCTAATTCATCCAGTTCTTCTATTGCGGTCATGATGGATGTTTCGAGCCAAGAACTGAACTGGCCGACGTCCTGCCACGTACCCTTGAGTTGAGCGGTCATACTTTCCCATTCCTTCGGCTTCCCGTCGCGTAAAATCAAGCTGCCTGCGTGGAGGTCCGCCAATCCCTAATAGTTATTTTCTGACAGTAAAACATCTATTTTATTTTTAGTTCACAAAAAAAAATTTCATTAAGAATTAAAAGCTTGGGTCAGCTATTTTAAAATTATTGAGTATTTTTTATTTCATAGCTCTCAGACAGTAACCTCGTTAAATTTACTCCATGCTGTGAGAGTATATGACCCTGTAAGCACATGTTGATCGATGGTGTTATTAATTACAGTTGTCGTTAACAAATTTTTAGATAATTTCAATATAAAAATTTTAAAACAAAATTAATAATTAAATTAAATAGATGAACGGTTAATGCTTTACAAAAATACCACATTACTCTCACAGATTTGATTTTATTTACAATAAATCTTTTTAACAAGGTGTTTTATAACTTTTCATATTTAATGTCATTTTCAAATATTCTAAAAATTCTAATATTTTATATTTTATTTATTTAATCTTTATTTGCTGTTAGGGAAGAACCCCATACAAATAGAGTCTATCTTTGTATAACAAATATTATTGTTGTTATGGTATTACTAATAATTTTTTCATTTATGTACCACATTACAAATATTACTACAAGAATGCCTTATAAGCATATTTGGTAAAAAGTCAGACAGTTAAAATAACGCCAATTATTAACAATTATATAAAGTATAAAATTCCGACAAAACACATACACTATATCAATAAAAACAATAAATAATTTTTTTTTAAATATAAATAATAATAAAACTTATTGTTAAATGTTAGTTTATATTATTGAAGTAAATTTTATATAGTTTAATGTGAAGCAATTGTTAATTACTTCAATTACATATATTGCTTTTTTAATTTATTTAATTTAATTATTTATTTAATGCTGTTAAAATATTTATATTGCTTCCTATTAAAAAAAACGTAACTTGAAAAAACATAAAACTTTAATTTCCAACTTTTCTGTAGAAAATCGGACCATTGTTTATATAAACCTTTTAGTAGCACTTGATGTCTGCTATCACTCATTTAAATAGTTGTCTCTACTTAGTTGACACCCTGTATAACTATATAGAAACCTTTGTACAAATTTTAATTCAAATTGAATAATTTTGTTTTTTACATTTTATATGCTTCAGTATTACTGCAAATATGTATTCAGTATCGGATATTTGGTGCTTCATTATTAAAACTGTCATTTAAAAGAAAATCAAGGATAGAGAATGAAGTATACTTCCCGACGAACCCTCCCTGAGTGAAGAAATAAAAAGGAAAAAGTTGGAGGGGACAATAATGAGGAGAAGTCCCCAAGAGCGGCTACGTCCCATTATCGACGTGGGGTATCCAGGGGACGTTCACTCTCACGATGGATCGATACCATTAGGGTCCGCGTCTTGGCTGGCAGAAGCAGGAGTCCCCGTCCACCCCGCAAGAGATATTGTCTTTCCAGAATAATGAAACCATATTTTAGTTTTCAAGAATTATCATAGAAGCTGCTACATGTGAATACAAGGCATATAGATAGAAGTTAAATAGATTTCTGTAAACAAAATATTTTTACTAAAAAAACCAAAAGAAAAGTTCGGATGACTTTGTGGAAATCCTGAGCTGAATCGGGTTCATCCAATTTTTCGAAGTTTTTTTTATATTTCTTTTATATATTACATTTACAATTATATTACATTTTGTCACAACTAGGGACATTATAGTGATGCAGGAATTCATTCCCACCACAAGTACAATAAATAAAAATCAAATAAATGAAACAACAGCAAAATAATAACATTAAAAATCAATTTATAATTATAAAAAAAAAAAGAAAAAGAAACTTAAACTAATAGAAATAGTGACTTTAATACATTTTTACAAACAATCATTCAGGAAAACTCCGAGATGAGTCTTCCCCCCTCCCTACACCACATATGGAAGGAAAGCAGGACTCTAGGAGATCCCAGTGCCTCTCTCTTAGCCGCGCCACTGGTATTAATGACCAATAGAGGCTGAGCAAAGGAACTGTAGTCACAGGTATATATTACTTGAGTGGAGGCTCTTGCAGTTGCCGAAACTCCGATATATGCTTATTTACAAAAAGTCTCGGGGCCACTTCCGCTTCAACCCTCGAGAAGGATACATATGGGTGGAAGGTAGATAAGGCTTGCGCAAGAGGTTTTGGATGATATCAAAGGTTTTGGTGAAATTTGGAGAATTTTTCTGCAATAAGATCTCAGACAAATGGGATATTCATGTCTTAGTGAAGGGTTTTATGTGTTTCATAGAAGAGAGCATCGACTATTGTTCAAAGGAGTTTGGACTGAAAGGATTAGATAGTTTTATGTTAGAATGTTTTGTTGTTCCCCACAGTTCTAGTCCGTAGGTTCAAATAGGTTTGAGGATTGTCTTGTAGATTGTAGGTAGGAATTGTCAATAGTAAGTTGAAATCTTCCATTCAATATTCTAAATACAAGGATTTTTTAAATCTTTTTTCTTTTAGAGTAATTACCATTATTACAAAAAAAAAATTCAATCCTGGATTCACTTCTGCTCTCTCTCCCCTCCCCCCCCCCCCCACATCCTAATGGCACAGATCTAGTTGAAACGACCAGAGAAGCTATTAGCGCCTCGAGAGAAAAATCTATGAAACACTGCAAGCATTACGAATTATTTTTTAGTATTATGAATTAATTAATATATTGTTATTATTAATATTCTATGTGTTTATATTGTGTTGTTTTTGTTCCTTGATATATTTTATAGGGTAGCGGGTAGATACTCTTTACGGTCCCGGTTTAGACAGATTTACTTTAGGGACTTAGCAACCCTGCCCACACGAACTCTTTCAACTCCCACTATATTATGGGGGAACCTAACCTATAGCAAATATCCTTCCTAGCTAAATTTATCCTTACCATATTCTTACACCCGACCCTTCTGCAAGGGACTTCACTGGGCCAGTTACACCAAGGTAACGGGGCCGCCAGAACTGGACTAATCACCCGTATGGTGTACAAATGATTCAAAGTAAAACAACGAGCCGTGGATTTAACGAAAAAAAAAACACGGCAAGGACAAGGATATACGAATGGCTATGTAGAACATTGGAACGCTCACAGGAAATTATTCAAAAGTACAGAATGGATTTAATGGGAATTAGTGAGGTTAAAAGAAAAGGAAGAGGGACTAGAGCACTGAATGATGAACTTATGCTCATTTACTGCTGACGTGAGAAAGAGAGCGAAGCAAGGTGTAAGAATAGCGTTTAGCAAATCTACATTAAGGTTGAACATTGGGAAACAATGGACTCAAGAATTATCTGCGCTGAACTTGAACTACCAGTGGGCAAGGTAACGATAATTCAGATATATATTCTATTGAAAGATCATCACTGTTAGATAAGGAACAGTTCTATAGAGTTCACCAAAGAGCATTCAGCGAGAAGTAAAAGCGTATTAATAACAGAAGTCCTTAATGTAAGGACAGGAAGATACGGCTCAAACGGTCCATTCGGTGGAGAACTGGCCACGAATGACAGTGGACAAAGACTAATAAACTTCTGCGTTGACAATAATCAACTGATTAAAAACAAACGAATCCACAAGTTGATATCTGTAGGTGAAAGAAGAAATGCTTGAGCATCATAGATTTTTATCTTTGAACGAGGTCTAAAAAGATATTTTACTGATGTACAAAGTACAAAACTGAGTACCCACCATAGACTAGTAGTGGCTGATACAAAATTAATAACAAAAAGAAAGCCAAGAGCTAAAAGGTATGAACAGGATGAGAAGAAGGAGCAATATAGGTAGATCTTGGACGAAAGGTGGTCCAATATAAATTCAGAATTAGCATTAGATCAATACTGACACCTTTTGAAAACCTGTGCAATAAATACGGCAAGACAGATCTGTTGAGTAAAGACGATTGGCCCGCATATAAAGAAGACAAGCTGGTGGAATGAAGAGTTGAGAGAAGCAGTGAATAAAAAGAAGAAAATACAGAAGAAATATATAAGCTTGAAGAACCTTGCGGAGATGGATGAATATGTAAGGTGTAGGAATCATGTAAAGATGGTGATAAAGAATGCCAAGAAAAAATCATGGGAAGGCTTTGTTTAAAGATAGTTACCAAGACAAAAAAAACAAAATTCTGGAGTACTGTAAAGGCACTTCGTGGTAGAAATGCGAAACCTATTAGGAATGTAAAGGATCCTATGGGAGGCGTTGCTACAAAAGATGAGAAGATAATGGAAGTTTGGAAAAAATACGAAGTTTTCTGAATCCAAAGCGCCAACTGTAGTACACCCAGGATTAAGAAGAATAAACCCGAAGAATTAGTAGAGAACATGGATGATTGCATTCAATAAGATTAGATTGTTGAAGCAATATCCAATTCGAAGGTGAAAATGTCGACAGAAAGGATACCATCTAATCTGAATTCATCACGTTTGGAGGAGAAGAAATTGAAAATACGCTGCAGGCTCTTTTCCAAAAACTATGGGATGAAAAGTAATTCCAAAGGATCCATATAATACCAAGGGATGGAAATATAATATAATCATCCTGATACACAAAAAAGGCAACCAGGGTGAGTCGGTTCTATCGGTCCATATGTCTCTCACCAGTTGTCTATAAACTGTACACCAGAGTCCTCGAATGAAGGCTATGAACAATCGTAGAAGACGATCTAGAACCAGAACAAGCTGCTTTCCGACCTAAAAGACATATGATGGATCATGTGTTCTCGCTAAGAATGATCGTAGAAAAGCCTTGGGATCGATGGAAGAATATTTACATCGCTTTCTTGGACCTCAAGGCAGTCTTCGATAATATCTTCTGTAAAGAGATTTATGAGGATGAAAAGTAATTCCAAAGTACTTAGTACATTACATAGGAAGAAAGTCTCCCCTAATTTGATAGAGGCTATAAAGTCAGCCTATCAGGAACCTAAGGGAGAGATCCGCATCAGTGAAAAGGAGTCCGGATCTTTCTTAAAAATGGTGTAATCAAGGTGACAGCCTAAGTCCCTTCATCTTCATAACATTTATGGATGAGATTCTTAAGATCTGCAAGATAAAAACCCCACGGACATGTTTTTGGTACCGGAACCTTTTCTCTATTTGGCATAGACATTTATATTTGCAGATGACATAGTGCTTATAGCAGATTCTCAGTATAATCTACAAAAAGTAGTTATGGAATGGAGAAAGATATTAACCCGTAAAGGTATGGATATAAATGCAACAAAAAGTAAAGTAATGCATGTAAGGAGAAATGAAGAAGTGTTAAATATCATATTGCAATGGAATGATAATGGAATGCGTGGATACATGTGATTATCTAGGTACACTTGTAAGGAGAGATACTTGGATTGATCCAGATATATCAAACAGAGTGAGGTAAACCAACGAGGTATTCTACCAAATCAGTAATACTTTAATCGGCATGAAGGAAATTAATAAACTGAATACTAACCAGAAATACTAAACCGGTGATGTATATAAAACAATATTCCTGCCGGCATTATTGTTTGGAACAGAACACTCAACAATTTTCGGGAAGCATATACCAAGAACAACCGCCGCAGAAATTTTGTTCCTCTAAAGAATGGTAGGAAAAAAAAAGAGAAACTGTACATGTAATGAAGTTGTTGGGAACGAATAAGATATATTCTCTTTTAATGCAAAAATAGAGGAACGACAACTCAGATGGTTGGGACGTATATGGAGAATTCCAGATTCCTGCAAGACAAAATAGTATATGGAAGCGAAGACTGAAGGACGAACATATGTGGGACGACCCAGGATGACTGCGAAAGATGAGAGCAAAGACATGAAGTCAGATGACAAATGGCTGAAGATGGAAATGAGTGGAGGAAGTAGAATGAGACTCGCGCTCGACGCTGAAAGGCACAAGGGAAAGGGAAAGTAGACAAAATTATATATTTTGATTAATATCAAAAATTTAATTATTAATTGTTTTATATATATATATATATATGGTGTCTTCAAGGATATGCAAGCCCTTATAATATAACTATTTCGAGATAATTTGTTCATTCTGAAGTTATCTACTACCACAAGTCATAAAAACAATGATCATTTATTTATCTCATCACATAAAATATGAGAAATTACCAAAATTCAAACAGAAATTCTATCAATTCAAATATATTTCTGTGGATTGATAGTTATAGTTGAAGAGTTTTTTTTTATCTCATACATCCCACTACTTTTTGTTGTTAATTAATTTTTCATTTGTTATGTTACCTTATTTTGATTACCTTTATTTCATTAGTCCCTACTTTGTTGCCGTTATTATTTATTTCTTAGTTCTCTGTAACTGTTATTATTTTACCTACTTTATTTTACTATCAGTTTATTCTACCTACATTTTTTGGTCCTATACCTTTCATCTAAATATTTTTTTATTTATTTTTATTATTATTATTCAATGCTTATAGTTTCTCATACTTATTGTTATCTGTTTTTTTCTTAGCCCTGATGAAGGCCTATGATTTGGGCCGAAACGTCGGCAAAAACAAAAATAAATATACTTATTTATTTTACTATATTTTTTTACTGATCACCCCAACTATTCTTCTCTTCAAATATATTTCTATATTATAATTTTATTATTATTCATTTTCAGTCTACAAATACAAAATCAAACTTAATTATCAATGAAAATGGATCGTTAGAAAATTTATATTAATTTTGGGACGCCCTGATAAATTATTACTATAAAGTGAATTAAAATATATAATCTAATAAACATTGGCAACAGAAGGCTCATCCTGAAAAATTGAGAATAGACGTTAGATTAATAACCTTAATCGCAAGATCCATCTGTTTTGAAGAGAGACCTGCCACCCTGTCAGGACTTGAAAAGCCTTCATCAACAAGATCCTGCAAGATGATGAGGCCGGATGATGAAGCGAAAAACTTTGCAGCCATAAATGAGACACCAAGGGCTGGTAAGATGTTCTGATAGGCGATTGTTTCCCTCCTGTAAGCCAGCTGGAGTTCCTCATCGTTAAGCATTGTCTTCCTCGAGACCAGCTTACATACAACTTTGTCTTCTTTATCTGATAACAGATAGTAGCAAATTGTTTATTAACTTCATTAACAACATAAGCCTCAATTAAGTAGCCTGAAATATTAACAATAACCTATCTCATTGAGTTCAATAGTATCATTTTGAAAGTTCTGCTTTTACAGTTTACAGCAGATTGTTACCATTAATTAAAATGTCTATTAATTACATGCGAATTATTTATAAATAATTATTATTTACATAAATGTTTATGTAATACTGTATTGGTTATTTAATAAATTACATAAAAAAATATTATATGGTATAGAATTTTTTGGCTGTGGCTCTAATTTATAGATAACTTAGTTGAGTGGGGTTGTAGTAAAAAGTCATGAGGGAATTATGTTTATTGGTTGGCTACGGTTCAACCTACGTTATTGGTCTTCATAAGATCAAGAAAGAAAAGATAAAAAAAAAAAATCAATTTAATACAACTACAAGGTACAAACAAATAAAATAAATGATGAATTAGTAGGATATTGTAGATACAAGGCACGGATTTATCGCAGGTTATGAAATGGGCTTGAACAGAGTAAAATAAATGGCCTAATAAGTTATTTGTGTATAATAAAATAAAATTTGATGTAAAATTTTAATTTTTATATAAAATTATAAAAATTGTTAGCACCTAGTATCAATACAACATTTTTTTAGTATATATTCTGTGTACATCATAACTTAGACAACCAATAGATATAATTCCAACATATATGAGTAATTTTGATGGCACCCTACGTTTCTTCTTAGATAAAAACATGTATTTTTTGAAATATAACTATGGCTTTCTTAAATTATTCCCAACAGCTTTAATGGTGAATTTGGCACTTTGGTTTTTAAGTATTAGCAAACTGGCCAAGTTTAAAGAATTTTCAGGTTTATTTCGTGGAAGATAGTCCTCGAGACCAGTTTACATACAACTTTGTCTTCTTTGTCTGGTAACAAAAAATAGTAAATTTTTTACTAATTTCTGATAACATAAATTAGTGAATTGTTTATTATTTTCATTAAAAACAGTTGGAAAAAAAGCCTTAACCAAATAGGCTGAAATGTACTGGTTTTACAGATTAAATCTTTTTAAAAGGCGAAATTTTAATGTTGAATAATATTTATATTTATAATAATAATTGTTAGGCTCAGAGAACATGTAGGTCCGAGGCTAACAAATGGCAAGTATTATACGACATGGTCCGTGTAAAATGGTAAAATGTTGACTTATTAACATCACTTGTTTTGTACAAAGCGATTGTGCCCAATTGTCTCGTTGCGGCGCTTCTTGGGGGCAGATCATATTCGATCTGATAGATAAAATTTAATCAGTGCCAGCTTCCCGTATCACTACCACATTACATCACAGACCTATCCAGAGGTAACAGGTGCACCGTGGGCGCCCTCAGGTATTAAGATGTCTAAGCCACCATAAATGGGTGAGTCGATTTGCACAATTCATATAACCTACCACTTCATCAAAATACAGTCCACAGCATAAATAAGTGGAATGTTGCCTATTTTGAACTCAGAGTTGTTTGCCTTAATTAAATTTAAAATTGGAAAGTTGTCTAAACAATCACGCTTATAATATTCAGAGAACTTCATAAAACCAATTCATACTAAAGCAGGCATCAAGATAGTTGAAACATGTAATCCAGAAAAACAGGTATGAATATATACAGTCTGGTCCAGAGCGGACTGCGTTTCAACATTTATTAACAAATTTTGAAATATTTCTTTTCAATGTTGTATGTTAATAAAGGGCATGTTTGATATCTTATTCTTTATGGACGAAATAATAAAGATTTGTAAGAGATGGAAAGCAATAGCAGTGATTGATTGGAACATGATGTACTCAAGTAATAGTGTACACCGATGACATAGTCTCTTTACTGACTCTATACATAACCTCTAGCAAGCCCTAATACAGTGGGAGGCAGAACTGGGATTTAAGGGCATGGATATTAATGCCAGAAAAAGGAAAATCCTACAAGTATGACGAGAGCCAGAACAAATCCACGTAACGTGCAGAGAGGAGGAGCTTGAAATCGTAAATGAGTTCTTCTTCTTTGAAATTGTAAAGTCCAACCAGAAATATCACACTGAACCATAGGTGCCGCATGTGGCCTCTATTACCTAGTTGAAGCCTCGGAGTAATTATTCGGTGTCCAAAGGTTTTTGTGGGTTATTTATTAATCTAGTGGTAGAATTAATTAATATTTAAGTAACGACGGTTTGAAAATTAATATAATTAAGCTGGATATGTGGGTGTGTGTATAAAGTGATGAATACATGTAGAAACGGTAAAATATAAAGAATCATGGTGTCCCGCATGAGCACTGCCTAACTTTACTGTGGCCTCTAATGATAAAAAGGTTTACCTCTAGTATATACTATTCCATTAGAAAATCAATCGTAGGAAAAAGAGAGGAGAATAAAGACGTCATATTTTCAAGGATGTATGGATGTATAATCATATATGCCTGATTTGATGTATGGAGCTGAGAGCTATTTACTCTCGGACAACAAATGGAGCCGAATAACTGCATCAGAAATGAAATACTTGCGCAGAGTGGCTTCCAAAACCAGCAGGGATAGGATCAGGAATAAAACAATAAGAGAAGAACTAAACGTCTCTGCAACGACGGAGACCTTGGTGAAGAAACAGTTACGATGGTACGGGCATCTGTGCAGGATGTGCCCTGATTGTGATCTACACAAATTTATGGAGGAAAGACCAGTAGGCACTAGATCTAGAGGAAGACCAAGGCTTAGCTATAATGACTATATTTCCAAGGACGAGCGAAAAGAAATACAATACATTGCAGGAGATGAAGACTCTTGCAAGAGACAGAGCTAGATGGAGATCCTGTACATCCTTAAACATGTTGGCAGTGAGATTGAATTCTCAGATGCTCATATAAAGCATTTCACAAAGTTTAAAGAATGGCCACTAGCAAAAATGAAAAAACACTTCCAAACCATCAATAAAGATAAAAAATTAATATCCAAAAGACATTCCATTTATAGAACATTTTGTATTTTTTAATATGATAGTTCAGAAGTATATACCAAATTTCAGGTTCATATAAAAAAAAATCAGGTGTTAACCAAATAAGATTTTCAAGTACTGAAGAAGTTTATCACAGAATAAGGCTATAATACATAATTTAAATATTGGCACATTAATAATATTCATATAAAATATTACCTTAATTTTATGTATTTCCGTAATTTTGTTTTTTTTCCTAAAACTTTTTTGGATCCTAACTCAACAGTACGAGGGTGCATATTTTAGGTATATTTTATTCTGGCATGGCTTGTTTAGGAGTTCTCCAAAAAGTTTTTGATATATACTCATAAGTTGACTTTTTAATAAGTTAACTTTGTCAGTCTGGCTCACAGCGGGGCGAGCATATAACTTCAACGTCGATTATAACTTACTCGGAAAATTCAGTGGACGAACATAGGAGTATTTGAACCTTAAAATCGGACAAAATTATTTTAAACTTCATTTATACGGCAGCATAGGTATACGAAAATAAATAGATAATTATGTACCAGGAAAAAAAATCCCATAAACCGTAAAGTTGAATAATTAAAAAAAATTTAAATTTAAATAAATACATTATTGTATATAAACTATACGAAACTAAGATGTTTTCAGTTCTATGTTAAACGAAATATGAAAAAAAAAACCCGGGAAATTATGATTAAAAGAAGAAAAATTAACAGGTATATTTACAATTTGAAGAGAAACCTACAAACCTAAAAAACTTAACAGGTATATTTACAATTACAAGATGTGATTACATTTTGTGAAATATTTTGATTTCCTTAAGGAACAATATTAAGTTTTTAATAGCATTGGGGTCCTTTTGGAGTGATTATTCAAGGCTATTTCTGAAAAGATGTTGATCCCTAAGAGATTGGAATACATAACATTCGGTTAAGACATGGTTCACTGTGAGAGGTACCCCGCAGGAAATACATTGAGTAGGAGAGTCTTTCATCATTAAAGACTGGTGGGTAAGCCTTGTATGTACGATCCTTAGTCAGTCCTTAGTCAGTACCACTTCTTCCTTTCTGGTCAGCATGATATTTGAAGTGACTCTCCGGACGTATGGCTTCAACCATTAGATTATTGTCACTAGTGGCAGACCAAGTTCTTTGCCAAGCCAAGCATGATTTTTCTTTGACTAAAAAGACAACTTCAGAAGGTTAAGTGGTGATGATTGGTTGACCCTCTTTGATAGCTCTCTTGGCCATACTATCTGCCAATTTTACCATACATCCAGCCATCTCAAATGTTCTAAGATTAGTTAGAGTATCGATTACTAACCAGTTTTGAGGAAAAGGGTACTGTATCGATATGAAGACAGATTTTGTATCTGAACAAATGACGAAGCTGCTAGCTAGTTTAGCGTCAATGAATTTTACGGCGCGGTTTAGACCAGATAGCTCTGTGGTGTAGATAGTACAAATCTGAGGAAGGTATAATATTATATCATTATTTCCCATCACCATAGCAGCGCCTACTCCATTTTTGCTTTTAGACCCGTCGGTATAAATAAATGTCCATTCCTGATGGGCGTTTTTGAAGCGATTAAAATCTGTTAACGGTATAATTCTCGAATTTCCTTTTGATTTGCTTTTGTTAAGTTTAGGGATAGGGAGTGACCAGAATTCTATTTTTGAATTTTGAATTTTGGGATGGATGGGAGAATTAGGTTTAAGTCAGTGAGATAAGATTTACATCTTTTTGGGAACGATGGGCGTTATGTTTTATGATTTCGAAGTAAGATTATGTCTTCAGAAAACAGACGATTTAGAGGGTGCTGGGGGCGAAAAATTACTTTTATGAAGTAGGAAAGAGAAAGTGCCTTTCTTCTAACATCTAAAGGCATAACTCCTGCTTCCACGTGTAGGCTTACCGTTGGACTAGAGCGAAAAGCACGTAAGGCTGATCTGAGTGCGGTGTTTTAGATTATGACTAACATTTTT